ATTTCCTCTATAATAACAAATATTTAATAACTGACACTGTTAAGTGGGCACTAAGGAGAACCTAAGATTCTTGTTGTTCTTTGTGACTGTAAAATACTTTTCATATAAACGGTAGAAACATTATGTACTTACAGATATAAACATTACTATGTATAATTCGATATCCATACTGTACTTTTACTTAATTTAACAAAAGTATTATTTTTAAAAAAATTTTTATTAGAAATACTAGCTGTACTTTATTTATATTTTTCCTACAGGGAGATCAAATACATCCTATATATTAAATTGTTGAGACGCGTTATTCGAGACTTTTGAGAGAGTCTATTGTGATTGTGTACAGCCTTGTCAAACGGTTGTTCTCCGAAGCACTTAGAGCTGGATATCTTAGACAAGAAAAATAAAATTATAGTAAAAGGTTGATGCATTTTATAAATCACTAGAATAGAAGACAACTGAAGAACTTTTAGATAGTATTAACAAATGGCTACTGAAAAACACAATACGTCTTAAAGCTTTCTTAGGAATATGAGAATGAAAACAAGGAAAATATATGTCACGAGGACTTGAGATAATTATGGTGACGCTTCAAACCTCAGCAACACCGCAGCGCGACGTAACGAGGAAAGAATTACTCTCCAAAGGTACTTTGGTTGACTCCTTTTCCTAGAAAATCCGTATTTTTCAGACTGACGGGTCTATTATTATTTAAGGTATGTAGAAGTATGACGTTAGCATACTTCCCTATTGAATGCATAGGAGCTTCCCGTAAGTTAGAAAGATAATTAGACTTTTGGTCAACAGCGCTAACCTAATGGGGGTTGATTTACTTGAAATACATCTTTTAATTTCTTCTTAATCTATTTGATCTCTTGGAAATTGATTAGTTTTCTTTTCAATAGTATTTTAATGGTAATTTGGGCGTAATATTTATTGCAGTTTTTTTTATAAATTATTCATTCAACAATCGTTTTTTGTTTGTCAGATGCGTCAAATAGACTTTAATATAGATTTCAATAAGATAAACGAGAAAATAGTGAAACCCATTCACGTATACCCGGCGTTAGAGCCAACGCAAGCCTTTTGTCGAGCACGGGGGGACGCATTTTAGCGATTGGTTTTTGTTCTATACATGGCCCAGTATTTGTGTTTTTCCCCTACTTTCTATTTTTAAAATGGGTCATTTCTCGTAAATCAGTGCCGTGTCATATAATCTAGACTATTTTGCGCCCGCGATTCCGTCCAAGCGGAATATACATAATACATAAAAAACAAATGTGTTCTTCCAGACTATCCTCTACATCTATACTAATTTTCATCGAAATCCGTTCAGCACTTTCAGCAACAAACTCTAACAAACATCCATCCATCCATCTAAACATTTATAATATTAGTATTAGTATGATTAGAATAAAGTATGATTGTACAAACACTAAATTCAACATTCATTAGAATTTACGATTATAGAAATACATAAATTTAATGCAAGTTGTTATTACACAGAAAAAGAATTTCGCACTAGGAAACAAATTACATGAAATTGAAACAAATTTGTCCAAATTTCAAGTTTAATTAAGTAACTTTGACTAGTTCTCAACTTATAATGAGTTGGGAAATGTATTTATGTTGCGATTTCCCTATTTCTCGTAAGCGGACTATTTTGAGGTTAAATCAATTTACGCGCATGTTTAACTTTAGTTCATAATAACACTTCAAACATTAAACGACTGCAAATTTGAATAGCAATAAATATCTAGTAAGTTTTACATATTTATTTATATCAGGCGTTAATTAAATAAATCATTTTAATTAATAACAAAGTAGCAATACTATTCTTTCAAATATAAGTCGGATTACAAGGAAAAGCAAGACTTTGCAAAACATTTAAATGTCTGTGCGAGATTTAATTTGAACTTCAAAAGTCTTGAGACGAACTCGAAAGGTTTATGTTTCAAAACGAAGTGAATTTAAATTTTTAACGGAATGATTTATGTATTGCTAGTATTATTTTGCAAAGACAGTTCTGAAATTATTGAGTGCGGTGAAATAAATCTATACAGAACATAGTTTTTGCGTAACTTATTCTCAAAAATCAATAAATAAAAATGCAAAAATAACTTAGTGAAAAATTTAGATGTTTTTTTTTTCATTTTTAATAACTACAGCTATAGATTATATATTTGTCGGTATTTTCGAATATAAACATTCTTTGTACTTCTATTGTAACTACTAACGTCAAAATCAATCGACGTTATTGTTCTGATACACACGTTCAATTATTAATGATTCTACCCACATATTGGCAATATATCGAGGGGTCCGTAAATCCGTTACTAAGTTAGGGTGCTCCCTTAACTTAGATGCGAAATCCTGTGCGCGATCGATAAAGGAAACACGTACATGGGATATTTTGTAGTAAATGTAGTTTACGGTTCCATAAGTTTTGTTGAGATCGGAAGATACCATGCTTTGTGAAAGTGTTTTTAATAGGGATAGCATAATGTATTTTTTGACCGACTTCCCAAAAGAAGGAGGTACTCAATTCATCTGTATGTTTTTTTTATGTGTGTTACGGCATAACTCCGCCGCTAGTGGACCGATTTTGATAATTTTTTTTTATCCGAAAGGTTATGCTTGCAGGTGGGTCCCATATTTTGTTTAATTTTTGGAGTCAAAGACTACGACGTAGTTATTTGTTGTTTATTTGGGTCCTTTAATCGTATTTGCAGATAGTTAATCAAGGTTCAATAATATTGTATGTTTTAAGATCAATTAAATATGAATATCGGTATTACAAATTTGCTATTTACAAATAACAGGCGTTTGATTGCTGCGAAATCTTCTTAAAAAATCTCAATTTATTATTTTATTATATACTAAAAGTAAAACGCATTTAACATTAACTTTACTAGTTATCGATGAATACAACTCTGTATTATTCTCGAAACATAGTACTGGAATTGCGAATTGAACGGGGTTTCCGTAATTCCTTTTACGAGCAATTGTCATTGAAACGTCAATCTGAAGGGGCAGTAGGGGGGGTTGCCTTGTCGGATCACCCCCTTTTCTATTAGAAGCCATGGCCGTACGATTTTCGTAATTGAACTAACCAAATTGATGATACCATTGGAAATGTTTCGAATTACTTACATTTTTTACTATTATTAAATAAAATTATAAAAAAATAGCAAAATGTAAACTGAAAAGGTGTTGAAATTTGATTTAATTTCACTTTAGTCCCTGTTTGTACAAAGCATTCGTTTATTTTTTAATTCGAGTCGAAGTAATTTCAACGTTATATTAAAATTGGTTAAATTTTATTTTACTAAGGCTTTGCTATTCAAAGAAAATAGTGTAATAAAAGTTTTCTGGAATTATATAAAATTTTGATAGAAAAATATATTGTAAGTTTTGATGTCGAATTACAGTCTGAGTTGTTTTTTGAATGAGTTCAAAGGACTTTTTGTTCAGTCAAGTTGTAAATGCGAAATATTTCTGAGAATTTCCAGAAGTTTAATTCATGTTACTTGAAAATAAGTTATCAATCACATAACTTTGTAAGTAAGCTTATTTTTTGTTAGCGATTCTTTCTCATTAGACTTTGTTTTTCTGTCCAAATGTTGTATCACAATCGTTTGTTCGTCATTCGGTATTCCACTAATCAGTTGTAACTTCGACAACATGGTAGAATTTAGTAAAAGTCTTTATTACTACTTTATGTTGCGTTATTCCGGAAACTTGTAATAATGTATTTGTGAATATGTTACATATAAAGGACAAAATCGCAGGCAAAAGACGCGCTGGAAGAAGAAAGAAATCGTGATTGCGAAATATCAGGGAGTGGACGAATATTGCCAGCGTAGAACACCTACTTCGCTTGGCACAAGACCGGGGCAAGTTCGTTGAGCTGACGGCTCCATTAATGGAGAGGTACTTAGAGAGAGATAAGTAACATAATTAAACAATGAGATAGAAATTAAATAGTTTTATGTCTGATTCGGTAAATAAATAAATGTTTAATGTAGACGGCTTTTTTCATTTTTTCGCTTTTTAAATTTGTTTTTAATATTCTTTTCAGGTCTATCATTATTTTTGTAGTCTTGTGTCAATTTTGATGGGATTATTGATGCAAAAGCTGTTACGACTATGACTCGATGGTGTAGACAGTTATAATGAAGTCCAAGAATGCTTTGTTTTAACACCTTTCATGCCCCTACACGATAATCGTTACAATCCTTGTATATACTAAAGTAATTCTTATTTATTTGGTAAATAAAACAAACAACAAAAATAGGAACTTTTTTATTTACAAAAAAATACTATTTACAAAATGAAAAGCTCAAAAAAAAAACTAATTTATACACTAAATACGACATGGCAACTTGAGCAAATCTTAAGTAGAGTTTATTATGAATCACGAAGTCTTATGTTATTCTCAACTTAGATGTACCTTTTTTTATAATTTACATGAAGAATTACTAATATTTCATACGAAGGCAAGGAAAAAAATGAGGCAAAACCGTAGCAAAGAACAGTATTGCAAATTATTCAATAGTGTATGTTTAAATAATAGCAGTACTGCTCCGTCTACTGCTCTGCCACAATGTTCCGCCCTCGTGGGAAACTAAGTTAATAACAGATAACTTAATGAGGACCGATAACTTGATGAAAGTGTGGTTACCGCCATTACTACTGCAAACGATGGAAATTTTAAGAGCTTGTGGTTTTTAGAATTTGCGTAATGACCCGTGAACGTTGAAACTTCAATTTACATTAGAATATTAATGTAAGCAAAATACTCTGGTTCATACAGTTTTTTCACTTTTTTGGTCCCCTGTTATTGAATATTAATACTTTGAATGTGAAAGTTTAAGACTTTTTGATGTAAGAATAATAAATCAAATTTCATTATCAAAATATAAGGAATGTTTTATCACATTTTTTTGGAATGAAATAACATAGAAATCGTACATTTAAAAGTATACTCGGATACAAAAACTCTTACCAAAACTTATCTAACAATTCCTGTGTTTGTTTGTGACAGATTTGTAAATCACAAATCTAACCCTGCATCTGTTGCTGTCAATTAGTAAATTCGTGAGTTCGCTACAAACGGAGCTCTTCCTCCGATTCACTGTCACTCGTGTACTTGATCGCTTTGTGTATCTCCTCTTCGATCTCCAACGCGCTCTGATGCTTATCATCAACAGCCAACTTGTTGTAAGCAACATTTATATTCGATTTATAATGCGATCGATTGAAGCAGCATTTATCATTCAAATAAACATAAAATCCTATGAAGATAAATGATATTAATACAATAACCAAGACAATGTTTAGATTGTAATGCCAGTTGGCATTCGTTATCTGTGGAAGAACTGTATTCGGGTAGCAATAGAATTTAGATTCGGTATCGGTTAAATTGAACAACTGAGCATCGTCTAAACAAGATGTACACTGACTGCTGTGAGGGCCCGAGCATGTCCCGCAGGTGTAGTGACAAGGGAGACATAAAAGGGGTGCTTTCTCTTTAGTTTCTGATCGTGGTTCCATATCTAAAGCCTCTGTGGCTGTAGGTCCAGGCTTACTCGCAGCTTGCTCAGAGAAATATGTTAGATTCCGTCTCCTCGAGCTGCGTTCCATCAGAATCTCGCTGGCGTACGTGCCGTCCGGACATCTGGTATGACATCGACCGTCGTACAAGTGCAAACCCTTCGCGCATTCTAATGGAAGAGAGAACATAATCGTTTAATTAGAATGTTATATGAGTTGGATATTCTCCGCCACCAGCCAGCACCGCCGTCCATGCATGATGCCATCCTCAGCCGAATGATGCAGATGTTGCGCCGAAGTCACTTACAAAGGATTTAAGAATAAGGATTGAGGAAGTTTGAGGAATGGTAATTAGAATCTCGTCACTGATCTCAAATAACTTTGTCTATGGCAGATGTTTTGTCATACGACGAAGATGCAAACATTTGAGGCATGCAATGGAAGGTGTACAAAATTAAATGAAATCAGGTGATTGCAACAATTAGAACAAGCTACAGAAGAATTAAAATATGGTGCTTTAAAGAGCTATTAACCTTCACACTTAGAGTCGTAAATGCTTACTTAACAACCCTTAGTATAACAACACTAAGGAATTTTTAAATAACCATTACGTTTCTGAGTGAGATAGTAAGTGTGGCAGCAAGAAACATAAATAAGCATTAGTAAGCGATTAAAAGCAAAGCGGTCATGCAATACAAAACGTCATAACATCACAAATATTTGCATAATCTTATAAAATAAAAATACTTATAAAAAACCTATAAATCGACATGTCTATGGCCAAAGCTGCGATCAGAGACAAGACTCAACTACCACTTATAATAAAATTTTGTCTTTTTAGGAAACATTTTTTTATTTTTTTCCTTTCACATCAGATTCGATATATACAAATTATAGTAACATTTACAATAATAAATACAGTTCACGATTACCTATAAGATGACCACTATTAACAATTTTACACTTAAATAGTAAAACTGTTATAAAAATGAGCTTTACCCATCGAACCGCACTTCGAACTGATTGTCACAGTTTATAGCTTTGAAAATTATACTCTTTTGTTGCTTGAAACATCTTAGTTGAATTAAAAATACTTTCGTAGTACCCAAAACAAGAGTTGGCACATCGTACAGTCTTGTACTCTTATCCCCAATGTGCCAACTCAAATTTAAAATACTTTAAAGTATTTATGTCTTGTCAAAGGAGTATAACTTTTAAAGACCATATACAATTTACCTTACAAACCGATCTTATAATAACTTTACATCGATTCTCATACAGTAATTTAGTTTATCTACCAGTCAATGAGTAACGAGCGATCAGTCGTTCCTAACACGTATGAATCTGAGCAAATTTGTACAAGTCTCCAAATTTATTTTTATTATACCCATATGATAGTTCTATCTTAATTATATTTACATGTGTAATGTAGTACTATATTAACGGATTGGCAATCGAAGCTATGATCACAACCACATAGACAATAGTTTAAGAGTTCCACTGATACACGAATACTCAAAATAGCGTATCGCGAAAACGAAGTGAAACCGTAGCGAAATGCAATATATGTAGCAATTTAAGATTGGAAAACGGTAATAAGAGTACGTTCTTTAACGATTCGCTAAAACTAACCAAGAAAATTTCATACTAAATTTCAACTCGCTTCGGTTTGGATTTGCTGTTACGGCAATGTGCTAAGCCTTAACCGATCAGAAGGGGACTGTTTCGTTAAAATTATTTATCATAGCAAAATCTTTAACATGAAAATTTGTTACAAATTTTGCATAAATCTCAAGTTTAAAAAACTCAAATGAGGTAGATAGAGATAGCTACTTCTATCCGCTATCCATCAATTATTTAATGAGAAAGGAAAAGTGGCTGTAGATAATCGAAGAACGGCAACTCAATTTGGGTATTCTAAAAGGATATCTCAATCTCGAAAAACATTTTGAATATTGAACATATAATATATAAACTAAAGTATCTTAACACGTAACTAATTCAATTTATAACAATAGATATGTGTACCATGACTCCTTGCAAGCAAATTGTTGCGGAATTATCGCCTTTTCATTTGTAATAGCAAATAAATATTGTTGAATATAAACTATTCATAAAATGTAGGTACATAACAAAGATTTCTATCTACATAAAGATGCAACATTTTGGAATCGATTTACTACGGCAGTGATTATTCAAAAATGCATCTAATACTATTAAAGAAAACATGATTAACTAAAAACGTCCTATGTAATCGTGGGCTCTTTTTATATTGATAAATAAAAAACAAGATTGACAATTTAAAATTAGAGTATGTCGAATAACAATGAACACACTAAAAAATAGAAGTGAAAGTTGAAAACAACAGAAACTAACAAATTGTAAAGACATTGTAAAAAGAGTCATTATGTAATTCTTAAAAATTAGTACTAGACCTGTACTTGGATTGAATTATCATCAATATAAAATCAATAAACCCAATTAAAAATAAAAGTATTTAAAATATACAAAACGGATATTTTAATTATGAAAGCAACGAAGGTAATTAACACCTTATTTAGTTTGGAAGTCGCTGCATACGACAAACTACAAAGTGGAAGACATTCAGTGAAGAATCAATAAATATTTCAATGGATTCTCTACAAGTTTACGAGCTTTCAAGAAACGAGAAAATAAACATAACCTACGAAATTATAACTTAACTGTAATATATCGTTTAATTATAATATAAGTTAACTAATATTAGAGATAAAATTGTCGATCCAAAATGTTACACCGTAATAACAGTAACACGAATAATAGGCCATTGGCTAGGCTTGGTTTTGTGCATTGTAGACTGTAAATAACAAACTTATATTCATTTAGATAAATTAATTATTACTGTTATATATTTAACAAAAGACTCACTAAAACTAAATAATCATTCTCATCTATTTCCAATAAATAATTTACATAAGAATGGTTTCGTACCAAACAAGTAAATGCGTTTTTATTTGGCAATAGTTTAAAATTGATATATTAAAATCAATGCTCCATAAAATGGATAAATAATATCACTTTTTAGCTACATTTGTTATGTTTAAAATTATTATAACCTACATAGAAAGAAACGATTTGTATAAAAGAATAACAAAACTGTAAAATGAAATTCTGATGAAATGTATGTGTAAAAACGTATTGTTGTCTTTATTTTTTTTTAAAGAATAAAAAAGACGTCATTATATATTTGTATATTTCTTTTAGTTACAACAATCACGTGTAATAACATCTTGAAGTACAGAATACTCTGTGAAGGTTTAATAGGTTATCTATATTCTGATTTTATTCCGACCTTCAACAGCTAAAACGTTCCGTTCCACAAAAAGATTTTTATTATTTCAATTAAATTGTTGAACATAGTATACTATATCGAAAAAGGTATACTTTATGTTGCTGTAATAATATATATATAAAAAGAGCAAATTATAACCTGAACTAATTTCATTATTATATTTTAATGACACAAAAAGTTTTATAACTTAAAAGGACGTGAAATTTAGCGGTGTTAGAACGGAACGTCTTTGACAGTGGCGCTAACTGTCATGTAAAAAATGATATTGTATAATCTACGTTAAATGTGAAATCGTTTTCTTACACGATTCGGTGATCACTCGCCATTCTATCAAGTAATCATAATTTCAATGCAATTACTTTTTAAAATGGACGTAATAGGTTTTTACATTTTATTATTACAACGTAATTGCACTTGTTCTTTAGCTCTTTAATGCGTTAGAAAGAATTGTCACTAAATTAGAGGTTATTTGAGCTAACAACTAAGTTTAAAGTTTTAGTCGTAACACTAGTAGTGGCAATTATCTGTACTAATAGTACGAGACTTCGGGATGGTTTCCGCTATGTATTTTGTATTGACAAAGATAATATAAATACATATATATTGTATACGACTAACAAAATTCAGGCCCAGAATATCATCATATACAATTTATTATGCAGATTATTATGCGAAATTTGGAACACAAAATCGGCGTGGGTTTAGAAATTTCTGGACCTTACAATTATTATGCTTAATATATCTAACACTCACCATTACAACTAAAATCTAAAATTACGACACCCCAATAAATCGGGTTACTGTAAATATTCCTTGGATACCTAAGATATACCACAACTTGTAAGTTTTAAAGTAAATATCGGATTTAGGTCTATGATCGGACAGCGGCCGTTACTCAGATTGTTTGTATCTATAACATCAACAATTTATTCGGTCAATTATAAATACATATTACAAATTGAAAACATACAACTGATCATTTACTTTTTGATTTTTAGAAGGACGGCAAGCAGTTATGTAAA